TTTTTTTTTTTGGCATTATAACTTGGTGCAGGAAAGACAGTATCATTTAGTTCTGAGGATGGTAGTATTGAGTATATTTTATTGGAGGTGATTTTCATCCTCATTTCGATCGGATGACCTTTCACGTTAATATGATGCGTTCTGTTTGACCTCATGGCGAAAAGAAAACGAAATTTTGTCCATGAATTATGTTGATTGTTTTTAGGTTCTTTTAGGTAGGTATGCCTTCTAGTCAATTCTTTACTCTTGGCTGAGTAGACTGAGAATCATAGTGGGCCTATTTGTGCTACTGATACCAGAAACTGATTCTCCGTAGAGTTAGCAGGTCATTTGTGCTTGCATTTTGTTAAATTTCCTTTTTTTTTTTCCTCCCCATCAGACATTCTATACATTTATTTATTTATTTATTTATTTTCTTACTTTTTCCTTATTGGTAGCAAGGGGTGTTCCTGAAAGCAGCTCGATTATTCATTCTGCTGATAATATCCCAAACCAAGGTGGACACTATCCACCTCAATGGGGCCCACCTCCTAGGTCATCGACTGGTCACTCTCCTTCCATACCTAATGTGGAATTTTCACATTATCAGCCCATTCCACCAGTAGCTCCTGTCCCATCTCGTGGTCCTTTCCCGCATCAGCCCGCTGTTGGAAATCCTCACATTTTTCAAGAACATTATGCACACCATCCATCTTCGTCCAATGTTGGTGGCCAGACAATAGATACTGTTTTTTACAATCAGACAGAGGGCAGTTGCCGTGGGCCCTACAAGCGGAAAAGCCCCTGTATCCCTCCAATGTTCGAGATGGGGTCCACAAGCAGCAGATATTACGATGTAGGAAGTTCGTCAGATATTCATCTGCCTACCGACCCGTGGCAGGAAAAGCAGAATATTGAACCTTGTCACTCTCGTTGGGAATATTCCTCCGGTTATGGACCTAATAATAATAGCCTCTCTATAGGAGGAGATGGTAGTACAATGAGAAATGTGAGGAGTAGAGCTTCGATTGACCTGGAAAGCCACCTGACCAGGTCTCATTTGCCGAGCAATACTTTGCATCATACTTTTTCCAATCAATCCTCCGACCCATCTAATTTGGTCGATTTCTGGGGTCAAAGCTCAAATGCGCCAACGCACGAATGGAATTCTAATCATGTACCACCAGCTGGTCCCCATGGATTGATTTCTGGCCCGGGTTAGTTATACTTGATTTGTTTTATTTATTTTTAAACGAAAAGATGTGTATATGTTATATTTTTATTAACAAAGATTTTTTTTTTTTTTT